CTGTAATCATGGAAAATATTTATACTGTGACCATTTGTAAACAATTAACTAAAAAATTCACAACGTGAGAAAAATTGTTGGGAGCCATTAGAAATATTGGCTTAGACAAAGCCATCTTAAGAACTATAAGTTTCTGGTTCCTTCAGAAACTCCTAATTACCAGAAACCACCTATATCTTTCAAATTGGCCAGGAGTTAAAAGATAACCCACCCTTTACCCACCCTTTACCCACCCCCCGTCCCTAAAACAGTATATATTCTGCCGCTGTAAGAATAAAGTTTGAGGCTTGATCAGAATCCTGTCTTGCCTCCATTCTTTCGTGTCCCTTGCTTGCCTCATTCTCCTAGGGTGTCTCTTGGTTCCCCCGTTGTTGTCCCGCAGGTCGGGACAAAAAATGTTTATTAGAATACGGATTTTTTTTTTAAGCAGGATCCAAAATTACCTTTAAAGTAATCACCTACATGCTAACTTTCCAGAAATAAAAATCAAAATGTTAACATAGATTTATCTCTGAATAATATTTATTTTCTGTTTGCGTTTTTCTGTATCCCATACGACCTTTGAAGCAAAATATAAATCTGTTTCTTTCTGTCTAATTAATGCTGGCTAAAAGTTTCACTCCTCTGACATTAACAAAAAGCTATAACTTATAGATCTCATAATTGAGTTTTTACTCAGTAATAATTATTTAAAATTACAAAATTTTTAATGGGGGTAAGAATGTAGGTAGATTAAATTCAATCATTGTATCACATCATTAAAAAATTTGACAGATTACAATAAAGCATAAAAACGGAACCATAAGAGAACTGAGAAGAAATTTTACTTTTGGGATGGAGAAGGCAAAGGAAGATAAGAAACAAAGAGTTGACAGACCTGATTATCTACTTTTTAAAACTTCTATAAATTAAATCATAATAAGTAATAAAACTAAAAAAAGTATTTGCCCATGTCAATAGGTTGATAGCCTTTCTATAAAGGGCTCTAATAAAAGAACAATCAGAATTAAAACAGACAAAGTACAGTAACAGGCAACTCATAAGTAAAAATGGCCAACATGTGGGAAGATCTTCAACTCTATAGTAACCAAGGAAATAGGAGCTTTAACCGAAAGAATCCTTTTTTCCACAAATCTTTATTAAAAATAGTATGCTGTTTTGATTAGGATATGGAGAGAAATATGCACTCTAAAAAAGTAGAAGTATAAATTGGTTCACAATAAAAATAAATGACAAATAAAGCAGTCTGATCTTTGTGAAAGACAAATTAGCAATTTGTTAAGCTTTAGAATCTTCATACCCTTAGGTTCTGTAAACCCATTCATGGAATTTCACTTGATGAAATCAGAGCCATAGTCAAATGGGATAGGCACAGCAATGTATTTCACAGGAAAAAATTGGGGTAAATCATGGGCTTTCTTATCACAGAAAATCATGGAGTAAAAATAGAGCAGACAACTGAAACCTGCATAATTGTGTTAACCAGTGTCACCCCAATAAATTCAGTAAAAAGGAAAAAACAAGTAAGACTAGAAATATTGAACACCATTATCTCTGGGTGGTCAAATTAAATTTGTTTTTTAAATTTTCCTGAAGCTTCTCAATTTTCTGTTCTTAATATGCTATGTTTTTATATTAAAAAAAGTATCAAAGAAGAAACTTAACACTATAGCAATCTTAACCAAAGTTGCTATAGAGTTGAATTCAATCCCACCACTGCCATTTGCGAAAAACAAGAAAAAGCACAATGATATAATGAAAATGCTACTGCATGGCCAAGAGGGAGGAGGAGCCTACAAATACCTGTACTAGAAGTGGAAAAGGCTAGAAGTATCCCTGAGAGCAAGCCAACAGAGAAGCAGTGGAAGGGAGTGATTTCCTAAAGAAAAAGAGAACAGAAAAGAGAGGAACAGATCAGCTATAGCCCAAAAAATTATGGAAAAAGGGAAAAGAAAAAATGATAAAAGAGGAGTAAGATGTCTAATTCAATTATGGAAAGAAATGAAGGATGGGTGAAAAAGAGCAGAGGGAATAATCAGGAGATTAATATATCCCAAAGATCCAACTTTCTTTTATCTTAATGATGAAAAACTCTTCTACTAAAAAAAAAAGTAAGTGACCTTGATTTGCGAAGGGCAGGTGAGGTCACAGTAAGAAAGCTACAAAAAGAAGACAGCTTAATGCAAGTTTGGAAGAAAACAGAGTGGATCAAAAAATTCTACCAGGGAAAAACTGCTACTTTACTTTTAAACTGGGTAAGTTAATACTCTTCAATTATAATTTCTTCACACCTTCCTCTAAGCCCTTCATCATATGAATCAGGTGGTTTGTGCAGTAAAGACAGTTTGACATAATGAAAAGAATCACTGACTTTAGAGTCAAGAGGTCAGTAATCATCAGGTCCTGGACTCTACATACTGGGTGAAATTGAGCAAGCTACCATATTTATTGCACAGGGATTACATATTTAGCACAGAGTTCCTGTGAGTCTCCAATGAAAGATATGTTTAAAATATATTTTAACTTAAAACACTCCACACCAGTGCTGTTGTAGTAGATGCTGTTATTTATTACCATTTTAAAATCACTATCACGGTAAATATATTTACAAGACCAAGTCTACTGTTTTTAGGAAACAAAAGCCACAATAACAGCATTTTACTTAGGAGAGCCAAGCTACAGGAGTCAGAGAAAGAGAATGAAGCTATAGTTACAATTGCTCTCTCCCAATTAATCCCAATTCGCTCACTCCCCAAAATCATGAGAGATTTCTTAAAGGTTAGAAAATTTCCAGTAGAGTAACACTCTCATGGGACTTCAAAAGTCAGTCTAGGGTTTGATGAAAGGGTCCCTTCTAGTTCTGAGATTCTATTTTGAGCAAAAGAATCAAGCTGTCCAATGAATTCTAATTTTGCACTCTTAATTAACTGATAAAATTTTTGGCTAAATATCTAAATTTCTATACCCTGATCATTATTTTACTAATAGAAAAATATGTATATTCAGTTATTACTAAATTATGGTATAGCCACACAGCTGAACATAAAGACTTCAAAAGTCACATTTTAAAAAATGTTTAAAGATATAGGAAATGATGCATGTAATAGTTTTTAAAAAGTGAATAGGCCCTCTTTTGTGTAGCATTTTTGTGGGGAAGTGTTTTTTGAAGACATGTAAAGGTTGAAATTGTGAAAACTAAAATGGTCTACATTATTGAACAAGGGAACCCATAGTTTTACTTTGCTTTATATTCTTTGGCATGTTTTCTGACATTCCAAACATTTCTCATGAAATGCCCAGGAATTCACAATTCAAAGAAAATGCATTTTAAAATTTATTCTTTTCCTTCACAATTGAGCTTACTGACTTAAAGCACATGAACTACAGTGAAAAATATGTCATTCTATAAATTTAATTGAGTTCCATTTTGATGACAACTTTATGTAAACCAATGCATCTTTAAATACTAGTATTAACCACTTCCATTTGTTTCAGACTCATATTTTCAAGATATAAAATACAATATTGAAATAATTTTATATAACAATGATGTGTGGAAAAGATAATGTGCCAAAACATCACTGTGAATTTTAGAAGCAATGTGATGTGTGATAGCCTAAAATGTTTATCAGTCATGTGCAAGAGTCCAAATTAACCTGAGGATGTGTATAAAAACTAAAGTTGTTCAAAAGATACAAGTTACTTATGAGCACATAGATGAAAAACTAAGGAGATATATGCCAGTAAAGCGGTGGTTACAAGTGGATTGTGGAGCCATATTTTTCTTTACACTTTTTTATATTTTCCAAATTCTCTAAAATAAATATGCAACATTTTTATAATGGGGCAGTGACATTATTTAATCAACAGGACAAATAACGTGTGGCTGCGCCTGAATCTAAAAAAAAACACAGAAAAAACCACACACACACATAAAAAAATTTCAGAACAGAACTCTGTAGTAAACATTCTGCTAAGAGCTTAACAAACTACAATAATGAAGTTAACCAATAACCCTGTGAAATAGGTGTTCCCATTGTGTGGACCAAAAAAATTGAGGTTTCCTGAAAGACTTAACAATGAGCACACAGCTATTTAATGGCAGAGGCAGAAATTGCATGTAAAGCTATACAGTCCAAAGTCCACATGCTCAATCACTGAAATAACCTGATGTCAGAAGTGTCTCAGTTTATTCTTTGCATTTTAACATTTAAAAACATTTTTTACAACTTAATAAACAATATATAGATGGTAATGCCTAAAAATGTTGCACCAGGTAATCATATTAGAACTTAGCCATTATTTATTGCAAGTTAAACATGATTATTCCATGGACTGGAAAAGGCGGCCTTGCAAGTTAAGTTCTGAATCTTACACATAAAATGACAGTCCTTAGCTAGATCGAACAGGGAATTTTACATTCAAGAGAACACATCTGATTCTTCACGCTACCTGCTATTCAACCACTATTCCAACTAGAAAGACCAGCTGAACACCAGACCACTAAGAAAATAATGAGCACCAATGTGCTAACAAAGTCAGACTGCTTTACCAACCTGTCAGCAACCATGTTGTCAAGACAATGAGAAAAGATATCAAGCTAGGTAACAAAACTCTACATATTAAAACAAATGAAAGTTCCATTCAATGAAGTAAATCAAGCCAAGACATACATAAAGGAACCACAAAGGGTTGAAAGATGTGTGTTGTAGCATGTGTTTAGGAAAGTGAAGAGCAAGCAAACATGATATTCCATATATTAACCACCCTTAAATTAGATTTTTGATAATGTCAATGACAAAGAACTCTTATTTCGAGCCTGGCATATTTGGGGAATGATTAAAGAACTGCTTTGAATTCCAGTTTTGTGTTTCTTCGCTCAAAAATTAGAGAGAAATTACCCATTTGTAGTGAACCATTCAAGTTTTGGTCCTCATAATGAGGTTTTAAAAATATTTTCTTTTATTCCCAATTCCCTTTAAATACCATTTAATACATACCTTCCTCCTATCGAATCGTCTTGTGGTTGGGCCCCGGCAGTGTTCCTCTGTGAACGTCGCAGTGACCCCCCTGGATTGTTATTAGGCCGGTTGGACATTGGCACCTCTCTCTTGAAGGGACATACCCTTTCTAGACACTACCATTCACTAAAAGAAAAGAAAAATGAGAAAAAATATCAGTTATACATGGTATAACACTGAAGAAAAAAGGGACACCAAAGATGAAGGGGAAATTTTATGTAAACAATTTGGTTGTATAGTCTTCACAAATGTTGCACTGTCTTATTAAACTAAGACTGATTGACTAGTGTGTTATAAAATGTCAGAAGTATACCAAATTTGAGGTATGAGGTCCAAAACACAGCAAATAAAATTAACTTAAGATTTCTCATGAAATGCCCAGGAATTCACAATTCAAAGAAAACAGTACAAGTAGAAATCTGTTTCCACATTTTTAACACTGTGTAGAAAATGGCACTGCACCTAAAGTCAGGACACCTTGGCTCAAATCCTGTGATAGAACAGGCATAAAAGGAGTCTACCTTTGTACAAGCCCCAACTTCTGGCCTCAGAGTCCTCAGCCACGAAAGAAAAAACATGTCATGCCTACCTCACAGTATTACGGTGAATAACAAATCATAAATACAAAGGAAACCATAAAACTATCATATTTTAATGGAGAAATGAAGAGAAGACAGCTCAAGTATAGTAAGTTGAGAAATAGTCCCCAATTTCAACATCAGCTGTGCTAGCTATGCACTTGGACTACAAACTTAATCTCTAGATTTCGTTTGCTTATTCTGTACTATCAGTATATTACCTACCTCACAGTTTTTAGCATCAAAGAAATTGTAAACATAGTTCATAAGTTTAACAAGTTAGCTCAAAGCACAGCTGTTAATCAATTTGAATTTTCTTTCTGTAAGAAATTTAATTATTATATAGAAAAAATGCTGATACTCAAAGAAAATCAGTTTAACTGAAAAAAACAACAGGCTAATATTACCATCACAAAAAGAATTATGATTGTGGAAATCAAATGTCACAATTTTTCTTAAGCCTCAAGTTCTTAATTACTTCCATGTACAGGGGAGGGAAGAGAAAGACCATATGACATTAGAGAAACTGGTGCAAACAGAATGCAATGAAGAGAATGCAAGCTATTCATAACTAAATCTATCATTAGATTTTTGTTTTTAGAGATTCCATGCACTGTAATGGGAAAGTAGGTTTTCTTTTAAGTTACATGTTGACCCAATTTAGTAGAAAGATTATTTTTCTGTCATACATGCCCACATCATTGATTAATATATTACATAAGCTTGGGTCATAAAGTTCAAATTACTAGTGCAATTACTGTTAATTTTAGAAAGGAAAAAAAAAAGGAAATACGATGCAAACATTAAGAGGGAAAAAAAGATGATTAAATTTACATGTACTGATATAGGAAGATCTTCCCAAGATATGTTAGGAGGAAACAGTATACCCTCCCCCCGCCAATCTGTGTAAATGTATATTAAAAAGGCTTATATACTTATCTTTATATGTTGTCTATTGATGGAAGGATTCATAAAACAGACTTTGTTAATACTAACTGCCTTCAAGAAAGAAAACTGGGGGGTCCAAAGTTTGAGATAAAGAGTCATTTTGCTATTTACCCTTTGGGTGCTATAAGGTAGATGACTCTAGCACAATAGTTACAATGGTAGAGCTCTGGAGTCAAACTATCTCTGGCTGAGTTCAAATCCTGATTCCAACACCAATAACTTGTAAGTCCTTGTGTACATAGATGGGCAAACGTAGGTTTATGTAAAAGCTTATTCTTGTATTTTATAATTATAACCTGCACATCTTTTTCCATAAACCTATTTTTGTCCACCCCTGTATATACGTTTTTGTGCTTCAGTCTATCAAATGGGGATAAAGAACTTAACCTCATAGAGCAAATGTGAGCATTAAGTGAGAAAACACATGCAAACCACTAACACAGTTCCTAACATATAGCACTAGCTCAGTACGCAATAACATATTATTGTTATTATAAACATGTATTCAAAGAATAAAAATACTTGTGTTAAAATAAAATTGGGGGCGGGGAGAAATTCACCATAAAAAACACTGTCAACCTGAGTTTTATATTCTGGCAATATAGTTTAAAAAGTGAATTTTGCTCTAAATACATAGTGTTTCATCAAATTATAAATGCCTGACCTCTGCCCTAAGATTCTGATTCTGTGGGTACAGAAACTGGAGACATATTTTAAAAGAGCTCACTAGAGAACAACTGCACCCAATTAAAGAATTAAATAAAATGCCAGTCTATTTCAGAACTTATCCAAGAAGTTTTACTACTTCAAACACCATCTCAGTGCAATTTCACTTGGACCCTAAAAAGAATGGATACAAGAGAAGAGCATTTTACGGCTGTTTTCATTTTGAAAAGCAAAGAATACTATTATTAAACGGGGTTGGTATATCTCACCAGCCTACTTCCTGCCATTAAATGTCTACTGTATGTCCTGGGGTGTTAAGTTGTCATTCAAATGAATATAAGTCATGCTGGTTAATTTCACCTCAATTACCAAATTAACCTTTATAATGCTCCCAATATCTTCAGAGCTTTTCAACCAGCACCATTACCAACCAACAGTCCATCCTATATAATAAAAGGGTAATATGCAAATCGACCGAATGGTGGAATGACTGGTCACTATGGCACGTGTTGACCCCCAGGGGGCAGACGCTCAAAACAGGAGCTGCCCCCTGGTGGTCAGTGCGCTCCCACAGGGGGATCACCGCTCAGTCACAAGCTGGGCTGACGGCTGGCGAGCGCAGCAGTCCACCTCCGCGGCAGTGCTAAGGATGTCTGACTGCAGCTTAGGCCTGTTCCCCACAGGGAGTGGGACCTAAGCCATCAGTCGGACATCCCCCGAGGGCTCCCAGACTGCTAAAAAGCACAGGCCAGGATGAGGAACAACTCTCTCCTCCCCAAGTGCACAAATGTCGTGCAATGGGCCTCTAGTTAGGGAATAATTCTGGAGATTTAAGAAAGTATGGCAAGACAGTTATTCATCAGAGTGCTACCTGATTTTAAAGCATAAGCTGATCTTTAAAGAAGGATGCCAGACTTGGTTAAACTTTGAAACTTGAATTCCCAAAATGTAGATATAAGATTAACGTATGATAAATATAGGGTCTCCCCCTCTGCCAGGTATCAACAAATCCAGAGCTGCAAGGGACCCTTGAGGATGATCAAGTTCAACCCCTTAAATAACAGACAAATCCAAATGAAGCAAGTCATGTGTTGAAGAACCAGTCCTGTGAATCCTGACCTATCCTCTCCAAAGATCACAACTACCTCAACTTCAACCAAAATTCAACTTCCCTTTGGCCTTAATATAAGAACCAAAAGTTTGCAACATACAATGATTTCATTCTTATTATATGAATACTAGTGGCCCAATGCATCAATTTGTGCATGTTGAAAGGAAATTAGAAGAAATATTTTAGTATCGCTATTCACCCTTTATAATAGAAGTGTCAACCAAATTCATGATTGACAATGACAGATCAAAACACACGCTTGCAATTGGTGCCAGCGAGAGCTTTATATGTACTGCACATGTATGAGTCAACTTAGCCTTTTATATATGTTGAATAAACTTGCTTAATTAGACTTGCTTTCTGATTTAGCTAAACTTTTTCCAGCCCAGTGAAGCACCCCAAATTCTCTCTCAGGTAATTGTCAGCAACACAGCAACAAATATCAACACAAAGCAGATTATAATTGCAGATCACCCAAGAACAAAGGGTAAAATATTTAACTGCAGCAGTGTTCCGGCGCCCACCGCCACCATTTCTGGGTTAGGCTGGCCTGTAGGCTGCATTTTGCGCCATGGGGTCTTGGCAGTGTCGGCTGCAATTTGGTGGGGTATTGCTCTGGGGTGGTGGCAGGGCCTGTGTCCCACTTGGGGGAAGCCGAGTGTTGCTTTGTGGGCACCAAGTCTGCGGTGCCTTTTCTCTGTAAATGGCCAATGCAAGTCACAGCAGCTCCCGTATTGAGCATCTGCCCCCTGGTAGTCAGTGCACATCATAGTGACTGGTTGGACGGACACTTAGCATATTAGCCTTTTATACTGTACTGACAAATTACTTATGCCTACCATATTTTATTAATTTTTAAAACACATGCACAGTAATATAAAAACCATACTACTACAATTTGTGCTTTAATAACTTGAAACGAATAGGAACTTAAGACTCCATCCTAATAGACTATCTCGTAATGCTGATACTAGAAGTTTTAAGTCCAGCTTTTAATAATTCTATATAATAAAGAGCCAATACGCAAATAGTCATCATGCCATCACGCTGTAACGGCTCAGACACTCAACACTGGGGAGACAGAAATGAGGACCAGCCAGGTACAAATGAACTTGCAAGTGAGGAATGGGAACCAGCCAGGCTGCTTCCTAGGAGAGGGACAAGCCACCCGCCTCGTGATCTTGGGCGCCTGCAGCCGGCCAGAGGGAGGGAAGCCCAGGTCCCAGGTGCAGAGTGAGGCAGAGGTGGTTAGGGGCGATCAGGCCAGCAGGAAAGCAGTTAAGGGCAATCTGGCCAGTAGTGGAGCAGTTAGGGGCTATCAGGCAGGCAGGCAGAGGTGGTTAGGGGCAATCAGGAAGGCAGACAGAGGGATTAGGGGCAATCAGGCAGGCGAGTGGTTAGGAGCCAGCAGTCCCAGATTGCGAGAGGCAGACATGCCCCAAGGGGTCCCAGATTAGACCGGGTGCAGGCTGGGCTGAGGCTCCCCGACCTCCCTGGCACAAATTTCATGCACTGGGCCTCTAGTACTAACTATAAAGTCCTGAAATATATTACTCTTCTAATTATGAATACACCTTCATTTCTGTGAAAATAATCACCAAGTTTTTTCACATAAAAGCTTGATATTAAGTCACTGAAAAAAAAAAAGGCAAGGATGACTGCCCAGGGGCACAAAGAACTTACATGAGAGAAGAATCCATAACTAAAGTGCCAAATCCACACCTGCTGTGATTACCTTATTTCTGTAAGAGGAAATTCTCATCCAGAGTGAATTGCTCCACAGCACACATCTATTTAGGGACATGCCTTACAGCTGAACCCAG